GTTCTAAAGTGTCTTGTCGTAATAATTTAATTGTGCTCATCGTTACTCACGTTCGATTCGAAATTACTATTAGGATTACTAAAATGATAAAATACGATTCTAAAATAATATAAACTGCTAACTATAAATAAATTGGAGTCGTATTTTTGTGATCTTGGGATTTGTTAAACTTGATTTGTTCTTTCGCACTCGAGATTATGTTTAAGCAAGATGTCGCCGTTTGAAAAATCACAAGGTCTTGGCAAAATACGAACGATTGAAATTTATTTTAGTGCATGCGGCTCTGTCGGTAGTTTCAGAAAGGAAAAATGGTACACCGCGCGCATAATTAATTGACTGTGTTTCAATTTCGCAGTTACTACGATGAATAACCGAAAACCTAACTTAACACCAAATTTATGATTTACGATGTCTATAACAGCGTTTTTATTCTGACGTGAGTCTGCTGAAACAAAACTTATGGTGTTATCTTCCATTTTAAGTTTTAATTCTAATATTTTAGAATGCCGCTTTTTAATCAAGAAATTTGAATTGCGGATTTACCTCTTTATTAACTATTATTTTTAGCATTTCGTCGCCGATGATTATAATATGGTAACATGTTTTTCACATTGAACTCATAATTTCCCAAGAGATTTATTTATGACTTCTATTGACCCTAATGAAAGTGTTCAGTATTTAAATTGAGTAAAAGTACGTTTAACTCACTCAGGAATATTAATCGGAAAGTAACAATTTTAACATTTATTATGGGGCTCCTTGAATAATAGTCAACCTTTTCAAGGGCTCCGCAACGTCAAAAGTTTGAGAACCCCTGTTCTAGCAGACGCTTTAGACCTGCCGCCTCCCTCACAGAGCGTTCGTCCCAAACCGGAGAGCTCTGAATGCCATTGAAACACTCAATGAGCTCAGACCTAATTTCGGACACGCCCTGCACCACGCGTGATTGGAAGTTCCAACGTGTTGGTGCACAAGCTGGGAGACGGCGGCTACATATCTGGCGAAGGAGGTCAGAGCGCTTCGGCGAAACGGAAAAAAATGAAGAAAACCCCGAAACATTTGCAAAAAATATACGGACGAGAGGGGTATCAAGACACATATTTTTAATAACGAGGTTAAATTGGTGTGCATAACAATGTAAAAAATGCGCATAAGGAAAATCTTCTTTTATATAAACTTGAACACCATGTTTCGACCCACTCATGACTGCCGCGCCGTCATAAGTTTGAGCTATCAATTTTGACTTCGCGTTGTAAGGCTGTAACACTTCTTTCAGTACAGCCGATATCCCGCAAGCCGTGCGATCAACGATTGGTACAAAGCTGTGAAATCTCTCGGTAGGTTTACCATCTTTCACGAACCGAAAAATCACAGCCAACTGGGAAACGCACGTGATGTCAGTTGTCTCGTCAGACTGAATCGAAAGGAACTGGCAATTCTCAATTTTCCAGAGCCAAATGTTGTAAATAAATTTTATACATTGAGTCGAGCAAATCATTTTGGATATCCTTAGATGTCCCTTTCGAAACAGTTGCGGCATCAAGATGATCTCTCAATACTGTATCTAGGGATGCGGTGTATTCCACCATATCCAAAAATACCCCTCTATTAGAAGAGCCAGCCCGTTCATCGTGCCCACGGAGGGACAGCTCGTGACAACCAATGAACTTCAAAACATCTATCAATCGACCGAGAACATGGCGGTTTTTCTCGACGTTTTGGTTGTGCCGACGAATAGAAACCGCGCGTCCTTCATCCAACTGTGCTGCAATATTAACATTTCCGAATGTTCGGTATTTTACTGCATTGTCCAGATGCTCCATAGAAGATTGATGATCCCTGGCACGCTCGGAAAGATGTTTAAGATCTCTAAAACCAAATTTACACCAACGTGAGTCACGGGCGGTAGCAAAAAGTAGGCAATAAAAACAAAAAAGTGCATTTTTGTCCTCGTTGTAACACAACCATACGTGTTTTTTATGCCAAGTTTCTGCGCAGAATGTACGCCGACGCTTTCCTCCGTCATGGGATTGTTCCAGTGAACAATTTTTTGGTTGACAAGGCCCAAGACGTTGTACCTCTAATTTTTGTTCCAGCGGCAGCTGCGAAAACGGAGTGCGAAGTAGTGCATCAACCTTATTCAATATGAGGTCTAAGGCTAAGAAATGCGAAGCCGGAAAGAAGTGAGGAGCTCAGAAGGAATGTGGAAAATCGAAAGCAAATGGACTAAAGGTCTCTAACTGATTCAAATAGCGAAACAAGCGACGAAAACGAAGGCGAGGAAACTATCAACTCTTCAAGCAACCAACGAACGAGAAGGAATGCGTGAATATGTCAACACGTTGTTGTAAGAAACGTCGGCATTGTGTCGTCATAATTTCGGGGCTAGCCCCGATGATTTAGTAAAAGAAACAGAAAACAAACGAGACAAACGCGGCGAGTGGAAGATAAAAGAGAGAATACGATATACAATGAGCAACCGGGGCAAAATCGGCGTCGCCCCGTCGACGTTCGGCGAAGGCTTTGCGAGCGAAAAGAGAAAAATGAACCATGTCGGGAGAATATGGCTAGTGTAGACAGTCTGTGCAACCGATATTGAGGTATTTTTCGAATATTTTTTATTATACCGAAAAAACAACCGGGGCATTGCCCCGGTTGGCCCTATTGACGCGCCGCCACTGGTACCTGTAACTATGGCCTAACCCTAAACTGGTATATATACTACGTTCCGGTGTCCGTCACCCAAGTTCGCATACTACAGGAGTACCCATTCCAGGATCGGGTTCGTATTTCACCGCGGATTGTACGTGAAATCAGCTATTTAATGATAATCTTATCCTGATCCTGCGCGCAGCCTTATCTATTTCCGAAGGTATGGTAACCACAGTCGCTGGTAACTGATTATTAAGATGATTCAATCAATAGATGTTTCTCCGAGCATCGATTTCCTTGTTTATTGCTGCAACAATTACAAATCAGTAAAGGTAAAAATGACGTAACGATCGCAAATTGTGCGCCGCTCAGACGCTTCTTCCGCTCAGACAGATATTCAAGCATGGTTGTAAACATTGCCACGTTTTGTGGTTTTGCGAGTAATTTGTCAGTTTCGTTTCCAAAAAATAGTTGTAAATCGAATAACCTAATTGTCTTATGTTTTTCGATGATTTTCAGTAGTTTAGTTGCAACGATTAAAAATTTATACTGCAAACGCTGCGATATCCTACACTAAAATTAGCTATAAGTACCTCTAAGCGGCACATGACCTAATGTTTTGAATAAAAATGAATGTTTTAAACCTGAGCCAGTTTGTCAACGCTAACTCTTCAAAACACTTTCTGAATAAGCGTTTAAAATTTTGCAATGGTGAAGTATAGGGAGAATTTTCCAGGGGTCAAACGTCCATAGCCATATCTACAATTAGTTGTAAGCCCATTCGGTGGTGGGATTAAAAATTTTAAGAACAGGTTACCGTCCGTATCGCACCTACTAACAACAGGTTCTCTCATTTTAGAAAACGAATGTATCTCACGGGTCAAAATTTACCAATAATCCTCTACTTTGAGAATCATCATAGAAGCAACAGCCAAAATCAGAAAGAGTGCCAAGATTTTGTTCATCATTTTACCTCAGGATGAATTCCTGTTAGACAATTTTATCTAACAGTAAATAACTAAGAAATATAATAGCAGAAGGCGACAGACTTTTTCAACACAAAATGAAGCTATGAACTTGTAAATTGCTATTGTTGGGAAGCAAAAAAAATCGTTATTCTTCCTGACCACAGGACCATGCGCATCTAACTTGTACCACGTTTGAAGTTTGATTCCATAGAAATTTGCATAGGTTTGGTTTGAAGACTGTTATACCGAACTTTTGCGCTGTTTTTGTTTATTCGGCATTTTTTGTATTTCTACAATATTGCCAGAAGGCTCGGTTTCGCGTGTAGTCTATACCGCACCTACCGTCAGTGGCTTTCTGTCTGGGAGAACTCTAGGAGAAATGGGAGCAAAACGATGTTTACACTTGTGTGTAGGTTTTCAACGTCTGGCACGAATTTATTCAAAATTCATTGCTGATTCCAATATTGAAGTCGGTTGTAAACCAAGTGTATCTCTGCATTTTTTGGATACAAAATGTACCTATGGACGTTGTTGTTGGCCGTATTTTTTTCTTGTTGTTGTGAAAAAATCGCTTTTGTTTCGAACCACTGGACCAATTGCTTTCCATCCAATGCAAGGTAATCTGCAAGGCTGTTGTTTGTTTATGATTGCGGGATCAAGAGTTAGCTGAGCGGAGGAAGGAAAGATGGAAAACTCGCGCTTCCATTTTTAGCGAGAACGTTAGATCTAGCGGACGCATCTGTACCAAGACCTGCTGTTTTGCATGCCATAATAATATTGTAGAACATGTAGGTATGATCTCACATTGAAATTCTATTCCGATCTTATACTTTGCTGCCCAACGTTATGCTCTTTCCCCATGTACATTGTAATATCAATGATTAATTACCAACATCGAAAATTTGTGAAGATAAAAACAATGGAATAGAACCTTCTAACAGCAAACGTTGCTCAATGGAAGTTCACGGTAGTGCCCTCTGAATTTTACGAGGTGTTTGGATAATTGAGTATTCATCCGCACTGAAAGCAGTAGTCTCGGTTTGGTGCAAAATTTCCTGCCATTTCCAGAGAGGGAAATAGCGAAAGTTCAATGAAATCTTAGGCTTCAAATGAAGATGCACGCGAAAATCCGTAACGTGTCGTACATGCTTATTAAGCTTTCGAATTCTATTCGGGATGATTTCGTCGTTGGGGGATATGTCTCGTGTAATTAGAGTGACAAAGGATTGCCTTTTAATACAATTTTCTTTGAGATAATTTCCAAAATAATATGCCATAATTGGGAAGTGTAGTCAAAAGGCAACAACAGTTCATTTTAAGCGATTCGTGGCTCCACTTGATGTCAAAAGGTTAGACGCCCTTTTAATGATGTATTTGTTTGTTAGACTTTTCAAAGAAGATAGATAGGCTTGACTTAGATAAAATTGTCTAAAAAAATCATCCTAAGTCAAAATGATGGACAAAATCTTGGCACTGTTTCTGATGTTGGCTGTTGCTTTAATGATGATCCTCAATGCAGAAGGAGGTGAGTTTAAATACACAAGAACATAATTTTATATATTGGCTCGAAATTGCCATCCTCATAGTAACAAGAGAGCTATGCTCATATGGACACGTGGCGCGACATAGTGGCAAATTTTGATGGCGTCATAGCACACAAAAAACGATAAATAAAAGTAATAGCCTTCTAGCGAAAAATATATTATCTCTACTCACTGGAAATTTGAAAGTAATGGGAAAAGCAATTTTTTTTAAAACGATACAAAGAAGAAGACCAACAAGAACAAGATTACCAAAAATATAAAAACGATCGTCATGTCCACTGATGTGTCCAATAACTCCACTCTTAGCTCAGCACTAATTCGTCAAAATCGATTTGCCAGAAAACCACGACTGGAGAAATATGTTATATCGATTGAATTTCTAATTGCATTTGTCTATTCTACTCTATGCTTTTATTCCAGTCAGTCGGTATATTGGGAATGGCTTTCAAAAAAAAATTCTATTCAATTGGTCCAGTACTTTGCGGAAAAGGCCAATAATACCACTTTGGGCCCGTTGCAATCTGGTAGAAAAGTATTGTCAGAGTTATATATACAGGGTAATGGGTATATATACATATAAAATGTTACTATTTTTTTTGGCCCACCCAGTATATATATCCGAAATTTGTTGGAGCCATATTAGTATATTTTTTTGGTATTTTAGGATGTTCTCCTCCGTGTGTGCACTCTGATTACTGCATTGGATCAAATTGTGTAGTGAGTGCCGTCTTTTTCATTTTACGCGTTTTGCTTTAATTTTTTTAGGCTTGGCCTTTGGAGGCATAGATTTTGTTTCTTGTTATACGTCAATTCTCGTACTCTAATTTTGGCGGATCATAAGACTAAACATTGAAGTATAAAGGTGTTGTCAGCTCGATTACGAATCAACGTAGTATATTATTTTTTCATCTGTATTTACGTGACAAAATAAATTACTTTAACATTTGATAACGAAAAATGACACTATTCACGGCTATCGTCTAAAAGTGAATATGGCGCATGCACATCTTCACGAGCAAGCTGTAGTCTTATATTGTAGAAATGTTCGAAAATAAAATAATATAGACAGTATCGCACCGATTTAGCACTTAGGGATAATTTTTTGAAATATGGGAATTTTAACAAAATTAATCCCGGGATTGGGGTGAAAAAAATTGAGTTGAAATATCGTGATGTGTTTTCATGAATAAAACCTCGGTGATCATATTCATAACAACACATTTTTTGTTTTCAGCCCTCAACTAATGGAAGAGATTAATATTATTATCACAATCAAGAACCGTACCACACGTATTAAATTGTTTATAAACGGATTATAATGAATAAATGCAACTTATGGACGAATTTTTATTTCCTCAGAAGACCAGTGGTGATTGGTACTGTAGACAGAAATCACGCTTTAATTGCAATTTAAACTGAGATCGTGTGATTACGGCACTCTTTTTAAAACATTGTCTGTTTGCTTTGCGCTTATCTGTCTGGGAGAACTCGAGGAGCGGAGTGAGAGCAAAACGATGTTTATACTTGTGAAGAGTTTGGCATGAATACATTGAATTCTAGTTCCTGGAATACAGAAGAAAACGAATTTTTACAAGCTATATACACTTAAACCAGCGATACGTGCAAACAATAAGCCTTCTGTCCGCTTGAATCTGCCTTTTCCCGTAGATATCATCAAACAGCGCCCTGGTTCGCCGTGTGATTAAGCCGGCCCAAGGTGAATTGGACGCAGACAGTGAATATCACAAGTGCACGACTTCCTATATTGTAGTACAAATTCAAATTTATAAGCGCTAAACTAGAATCTGAGATGTAAAAACTCGAAAATCCTTCGCCGAGGTTATTTTTCCTCTGTGACGTCATAAAAGTTCTGCGTTAACAATGATAATTCATTATGACGAAACAATTGGACAAATTTACATGTCATACAAAATATAAATTTTTATGGGTTTTAGAATTCTTAAAATAAAATCTGAGTGAACAGACAGGTGCGCAGCATTACATAAATACCTATTTCGTAAAAAAATCAAAACCTACAAAAATGACTTACGCAATTCAGTTATGGACCTTTCCCCGACCTTTGACCCTCGGAAAATTCTCCCTATACTTTACCATTGCAAAATTGTCAAGGCTATTTTAAGAGTGCTTTTGCGAGTTGGCGTCTGTAAAATGGGGTATGTGTTTCAAACCATCATTATGATTCATCGCATACAACAATCTGTTTTTTAAAAGTACCGGTAAAGAATTTCAGGCTAGTCTATCACATCACAAAACGAGGTAATGTTTACAATCACGCTTGGAAATCTGTCTGAGTGAGAAAAGTGTCAGAGCGGATGCGAAAAGGGGGCATTGTTACGTCACTTTTTGCATCTTGCTGATTGGCCAATGTCACGGAGTAAACAAGGAAGTCCATGCTCGGGGAAAGGTCCATTAGCGTGACGATATGTCATCAAAATAGTATTGACATCAACTACAAGAACATCAATGCAAATCTTGAATCGAACCTGATTGATAGGAAATCATTTAATCGATCTCCGCATTGCAAACATTATATTTTAATTGGTCGCAAGGATTAAAATAGGATCAAAGCATTCAAAATATCGGCATTATTCTATGGCCTATGCCAATTAGCAGAGCAAATAACAAGATGCGATTCGCTAATATATATGTGGTGATAGTCATGTTATTATGCATGACTATGACTGTGGAGATAGACGAAGCCGGCTTAAAAGCAATGGTAAATGAGATATCTCATGAAAATGTATTTGTGGTACAAGTTTTTCATATATGAATATAAAACTTTTTATAATTTTTATAACAATAATATTAATGCCCACAAAAGAAATATTGTGTGTGCCAAAGTTGGCCTAAAAAGCAAGTTATAGAAACGTAGTTTGCCATAGGATTGATTATTAGGTATAAATGAAAATACATATAATACAGCAATATACAATCAATAAGCAAAATAAATGTTTTGCATTGTAAATATAAAATGAAAAAAATCTTTTTGTCTTTTATTTTTATCTTGTGATTAATTTTTCAGTTATTAGTGTTGTCATGGAAGGCTCGTGGGCTGCAGCTACAACAGGTAAGAATATTTGTGTTGTCAATTTAGAAAATAAGTCGTATTTTTATAGTTACTTGTGAGAGAATATGCACTAATTCATTGCCTTTGTAATATAAGTAATATATGATGTTGGTTGACAAAATTATGGCGTGTGATAATTCTGTACCTTCTCCACCTTGTTTAGACATTATGGATATAGGAGGAATTCTTGGTTTATGTAGAGCAGGGGTCGGCAACCCCTGGCACGCGTGCCAATTGTGGCACGCGAGAGGATTTCTCATGGCACGCTAAGCGATTTGAGCCATATTCAGATATTTATTTTCGTAGTGCGACAAACATTCTACAATTGAACAAAAAATAACAAATCGACAGATTCATTGAAAAAACATGCAATATTTAACTGCAATCGACAAGAGGCCGAAATCTGTACCCAATATCGGTGTAGATAAGCGTGTGCAGTCGATCGTCCCCCTGCTTTTAAATTTTTGGAAAACTGAAAAAGTTGCAAATATCGCGTGCGATTGCTTTTTCCTAAAATTCCTGATTGTTTTTATCAGCGGGACGTGTTATTTAGGCCGTAAACACCTTTAGTTGGTGTTTATTCTCCCTGAATCACAACAATTCTTTCACGACAACGATAATTATTACTTTATATTTGCCCAGAATTGAAATTCGCTGAGAGTTATTATACAATCAATCCAAACTAAATACAATCAGCCATTAGGCATGTTTATCTCATATTTTTACATCAAAAGATTGCGTGGTATTTCAGACTAATAATGTTTATATTTTGACGCAAGAAGACGTAACCGCGAGTTACGTTGGACACAAAATTATATCAATATAGAAGAAAGATTTAGATTCTCGAAGCTGTCATGAAACGAATATTTTACTGGAGAGAAAAGTTGGTATACGCTGAAAAACTCGGCCTTTTTAACGAGTGCGTAATCGCGGCGACTGTTTTATAAGGAAATGGAAATTTTCGGTTTTGAAACACCCCCTTTCGAAAATCCCGACTGCGCGTCTGGCTGATTTTCATCATTTCACCGTGAGCTACATGTAGCCCTAACAAAAACGATGAAATAAAGGCGCTCCGTAGTATGTGCACCAAGATGACAGACACCGGGACGTAGAATGTGTACCAGGTTTGGGTTAAGACATAGTTTTATTCCAATTTTCTTTATTTTAGTTCTGTTATGAGTTTGGGGATAGCCAAATGGCTCCCGTAGTATTTGTACCTGAAATTATGGCCTAACCCTAACCTGGTACACACACTACGATCCGGTGTCAGCCATCATGGTGCACATACTACGGGAGTCCCAGAAAAAATTGTATCTTCGTTAGTAGTATTAGAAATGCCGTATGCCGAAATCTCTCGTAAGCTAGTTTCCATGCACGTTATCCAATAAAATGAATTTGTTTCTCATCCGACCGTTCCGTAAACTTAGAAACGTCAAACCAGATTAGGTATATAAAATAAATTTCCCAGATTTTAAACTTGTCATTAGCCATTTCTTGCATGACTCGAACATTAAATTTATTAAAATCAAATGTTAAAATGACGTTTCGGCGTTTCATTGTGAAAAAGGCGATTTTAGGTCGTCAGAAAATTTGAGTTATATAAATAGCATGGAGTTAAAAATGACCAGTCAAAGTTTTACCAAAAGCTGGTATGAGTTACTTATATGAAAAACACTCATTAGGTTGTAATCAGAGAGGAAATGTCATGTCCTACTCCATTTAAAGCACTTTCTATTAGCTCTTGGTTGATCCCCTCCATCCTTGGCCGAGTAATGTTTCGAATATGTAAACATTTTACTTGACTATGCATGGCAGTTGAGCTGAGAGTAGAACGTAAAATCAATCAATCGTGAATTTCGTTGTAACAATGCACACTGACTCGTTTAAAAATTGTTGTTGCGCCTATTATCATCGCAAATGATTACAATTGTTAAATTTTGAAGCATTTAGGCAGTAATAATTAGGCATGACATAATCAAAATCATTAAGTGTAGTGCTGAATTTGCAAATTCCGTAAATACAATTGAGCATTACTCAGTACGTATTTAGCTATAATAACAGTCAGGGTGATGTTTTGTTAAAAAAAAAAATTTTTAACTTGAAGGAATTAGTTATAATTAGCGTCTGACCCTCTTAGGCTCAAAGGCCTAGAAATGCCTTTATCGCCAATTTATTTGATCTTTATTTTTAATCAACATTCAGAATTCACGCAAACGCAGATTTCCGAGGTTTATCTATCTAATACTAAAATAACACGAACACCATAGAAAAGCACGAGAAACTCAAGTAGCGTTATAATAAATATCTGTATCTCGGTTACCGTTCACTTTAAACAGGCAGTTAATTTACAAGCGGTGATAAGTCTTCAACAGCTGTTGCTGATGTGAACGCATGGGTATCCTAGAAATATAAAACTCCGATATCCAGATCCCCCTTATACTTGCAAAAACAATAAAAGGCTGAAATTTGAAATACCAATTTTAGGATATCGCCGCCGAAACGATCGCGGTGACAAAGACCATTAAAGATTATGATGAAGTTTGTCAAAATGGGTCGTAATCGTGGAGGATGCAAGGTGCAGTAGCTGGTTGAGATGATCGCCAGTTGATCGGCAGATATTTCTGGACTAATTTCGATTACTGAAACAAAATTACAACTCTCCGGAAATTAAAGTAATCATTGAGTTATTTTATTTATACATAATATTCGGAAATGCGACAAAAACTGAAAAATCCACGAAAGCGAGCCAATGATTACAGTCATGTCTAAATCCTTCCAATTGAAAAGTGTCCGAGTGGCTGCGAAAACGCTTACTGTTGCGTCACTATTGCATCTTGTAGATCAGTTAGTCAACGCTACGCAAATAAAGACGGGGAATCCATCCGATTAACTAATAGACTTCAGCATTTTAAGTTCAAGTCAATGATTAGTTTTCAATGAAAAATTTTCTTTCAAAGTAATTAATTTTTAAAGCATTTACTAAAGCCACAGGACGGGTTGTTGAGAGCCGCATGCGCCTTTCAAAGCCTAGTTTGAGAATCACTGAATTTAAGAGGAATGATTCGGACTCGTCATCAACTAATCGACAGTCAGCTATAACTCAGTGAATAACTTTGCATTTTCATGATTTTTTTAAAAATATGCAGAAAGTCCTCCTCAGAGAACTGAGAAACAAGGAAAACAATATACGAGATAACCAAAAAATAGGTAGCAGTCGAAGCCAAAAAAAAAAATGAAAAAGTTCTACCGCAATATATTTCAAATTGAGCCTCAAATTGCGCATTGTATTTTCTCGATTCTCGAAAGATTGTTTTGGGATGGGTAGCTGTTCAGAAGATGCTAAAAGTATATAAGTATATTTTTATAAGTATATTTGGTACTCCCGAAGTATGTGCACCTAGATGGCGGACACAGGAACGTAGTATGTGTACCAGGGTAGGGTTAGGCCATAATTTCAGGTATAAATACTACGGGAGTCACTTGGCTAGTTAACGAAATCGTAATAGAGCTAATATGAGGTAAGTTGGGAAAAATTGTGGCCCAACCCTAACCTGGTACACATACTACGTTTCGGTGTCCGCCATCTTGGTTCACATATTTCGGGAGTACCGTATATTTCAAGTTTTATTCAGAGAAAAACTCTGTATATGCTCTGCTTACAGGTAGCTGGTTACTATCTATTAGATTATTAGGAGGTTCTAAGTCTATGCTTCCCAATTCCAAACATAGTTCCTTAATTTGTACACGCTAATTTTTATCTGGCCAATTGATGATTAATAATTTATCTGATACTATTGGATATATTATTCAGAGAATTATCTCATGTATCGAGAGTATGCAGCCTTTTATACAGGAGGGCCAGTTTGTCATTGCTTGCCCACTTTGTGCTGGCTGAAGTGCTAATTTGAACCTGAGATATTCAACTTTTACAATAATATAGTTGGGTTGACGAAAAAGTTAATGAGCGTCAGGAGATTGGATGCTCTTGATTCGTTTTGCCAGATGCATTTAGACTTTAACCAATGTGTGTAACGTTTCTAACTTAAACAAGAATTTCGGTTGAAAAAATTTATTTTTCTATTTAATAATATGTATTTTACAAAATTTAAACCTAATCCAGAAACTTTCATTTCCTGAAGTACTGTTACTGTATAGTGAGTGACTATGTATTTTACCTGGATACTCGTGACGCTATGCGTTGGAATACCACATGGACAGCGGATTCCCGAACAAAGTTCGCAGGTGTGGTCTCTGTATATTTATTGATAAAGTCGCCTTTTTTTTCTCACTCGTTTCCCTCTGGCTGATTATATGTCTTGAATTGTTTGGAGCATCATGTCAACTGCTATAACAGTAGGTAACCTGTATAACAGTGGTCACTGGGGCTAGACATTCCAAATCAAATATTCGAATCGGTTCAGACGAAAATTTAGAATTGCCGCCATCTTGTTTTTTATTTGACGGCCAATGGTCATGTTGAATTTCTGAATTGATTTTATCGAAGGCAAATTTCTACAGTGTAATTCTGACATATTATTACTTTTTTTCTAGTAAGTTATTGATAAAAGACCCTTTGACTCAGGCGGTGATATGATATCACTATTTTTGTTCGAATAGATTTCGATCGCTTGCCATACACTCACTTAATAGTTTGAAAACACCACAGTTTTAAATCGACCGGGCTAGATTTCAGCACACAAAACCAATCGCAAGTTATTCTACTTCATATTCAACCTGATACACGGATTTTGCGTTATATATATGATATCCTGATAACCTGATATATATATATTTTTTCTAATAAGGCTCACAGAAATTTACATGGCGGCAAAGTTTCACAAATTTTGTGGCAAAATTAAGAACTCGAAACAGTTCACACAAAATGTGAAAAATTATGAAAGTGATATCCTATTAAGAGTCTCTTCAATTTCTGAACTGCTAGCAGGTTGAAAAAGATTGTTCCAGTAATTTAAAAGAAACCATCATTTTTTTTTCTGAAAACAGCAAATTATAGGTTCACCTAGCTAGACTAATTACCGAGTAGTACTGGGTAAACAAAGTGGAATCAGGAAAATTGCAAAATTTTCTTTTCAAAATTAGCAGCCCTTCAAGTATCAGTGTCTACTTGTCTAACTATAGCTACAAATATTTTCATTTGACAAATTTTCATTTTAAGCTACTAATATCAAAGTTTTCAAACTCAAAAATTTACACAGTCAGAACACAGCACTATAGTGTGCCGCGGAAAACAGTTTGCGAATATTTATCGATGCTCGTTCCTTTCTTTGTTTACTAAGAATGAAAATGACTTGGCCCCTGTTATGACTCTTACAATTAATTCAATTGTTATAGTTGGGCTTCTGTGTCACGGATAGACTTCATATTCGAACAGTTGAATTTCTAATCTGAATTTACATTTTAATGATTTAATAAATTATACAAACATTTGCATCAATCCCATACCTACCACTTCAAGTAGTGAATAATTTAAGAAAGCAAGATCCAAAGTATTTAGTAGTAGTAACTCTATTGTTCGCATCAGTGGCTGCTTGTACAAAGCCTTGTCCGCAGTGGCGGGATCTGAGTGATTTAAAGTTCAAGATTGTGATCCTAATTCTGAGAGCTTTGTCAAAAATTGCCGATTTTAAACCATGCGAAACACCAAAATTAGAATTTATCCAACTACTTCCTGATAATACTAGTCTATTCATTCGGAGAAACGAACATATATTAACGTTAAGATAAGATAGACCTAATTAATTAATTATTCTTACTAATGTTGGAGTCGGAATGTACAAGAGGGAACGAAGATTGACTAAGTAACCGAAGTTCATGCTATTCGCTTCACATATTTATACTCTTTTGATGATTTACATAATTTTAGGATCATCAAATGCATCTGTATTGTACCAACAGAGACCAGAATTCCATCAAAGAATTGGACAAGAGAGTGCTGGGCCACGGGGGGCACGGGGGCGACCAGGAGAAGTGGAGTACCATATCATAAATGAAACTATAAAAGAGTATTTCACTGGTATGTGATTTTGGATACGAACTGGACATATCAATTATTTTTTTAAATACTTTTTACCATTGTGGTTATGGTGTCGTTGAGGCAAAACATTTGCATCACGATTTTTCTGGCTCCTTTAACAAAATTTTACTCTAATTTGTTGATAATACAAAGGGTATCAGAATATTGTGTTTTGAACTGCAATACCCTTTTCTGTACGGCGCAGCCGCTAAGATGCTTGAATGAGACAGTATTAAACGAATTTACATTTGATGAAAAATTTCTGTCACTAATGAGGCCGAATGTTATCTAGAGCGCTGATGTTATAAGATCGCCGAGATGGGACTTTGGTTATTCATTATACAAACAAATGTTATCAATCGGAATTGTTGTTTTACTAAATTATATCAGAAATTTTTTATTTTATTTGTGAATTACAATCCGGGCTCAGGATTATATTTCACTTCGAAATGGTTTTTGTTTATTTATTCGATTTCCTCAAACTGAATTTTTTTCATTAATTTTGATGTTTTTTTGTATTTCGAAACTAGAGTTGAGCTCTAGAAAAATATTTGAGAAATATGAATATAAATATGTTTCATAATTACGGTAATCAACGAACGATCTTTTATTTTACCTTTTTCAGATATTCCAGGACAGATAAAAGCAAACTTGACTCAGATAGGTTCGGTTGTTGAGAAATCTAGCGAGGACATTGAGGTATTGCAAAAAGGTGAATAGTTAAGAGTTCATGTTAAAAAAACGCATTTCTCAAATATATGGGAATAAATTTGCAACGATAACTAGGCCATTTATGGTCCATGTCATCCCCTATTTATTTACCGAGGCAGTAATTCGGCCTCTGCGACCAGAAATTGACCTGGCGAAACAGCTTCATTGGTTTTGGCATTTTTGATGACATTAGAAATTCAAATAAGTAAAATATGTCGCATTTTAGCCAGAAATGAATACGATCTTAAAGTGAAATCTCCTATTATAAACGATAACTCTATCATTTATTGTCTATGTGGTGCCAAATTTTATGAATGAGATTTTCTTTTAGTACCCACTATTTGTTTTTTCGTTATAGAAACTGAAATAAATAAAATATGATCCGTTTTCGTCCAGAAATATTGACCTGAAATTTCCATTTGAGATTGGGAACCATACTTAGATATCCGATTTGACCATAATATGATGCAAATTTGCTACCAATGTAGGGTTCTTCTGACAACAGTGACTAAGCCGTTCATGGTTGACGCGAAGCCATGAGCTGATATAAAACAGCAAAATTGGGTGGAATACCAGCACCCAAAGCACTCTAGACTCTAGAGGTGCAAGGTATTTGATACCAAAATGTGTAACCTGCGTAAAATAATTAAGTTTGAAATTCTATTTTCGACTGTAAGAATCTTAGGTAATATGCACATAATCTTCGATTTTCATAATGCTTCGTGTTAGATGTAAATATGGCGATTAATGTTTCGTTAAACTAAGCATACGAGGTTGGGACCGTGGTAGAAGCCACCGTTCATGATAAAAGCTTTCTCGTAAAAGTCGATGACGAATGATATTTTCCTACCGCTTTCAGCTTTTGAATACTTTTCATCATTATTTGTTTTTTTCATTGAAGCATCGGGGAGAACTCAAGCGAAACTGAATGAAATCGAAACAGATATTGAAGGATTGACATCAGGTAAATCAGAAAATTTTTGTAAAGTAAAGTTTCGTGAAAACATCAAATAACTAAACTTAGACATTTCAGAGCCAAAACCTAGCGCTCATTTATTCCTTCATTTTGTATTTACTGAAATTTTGAAATTAATTAGGCTCTTAGTTGCACGGAAAATCAATTTTTCTCAACCTGAGCAATCACCCCAACCAAGTTTAATTTTATATTATGACATCAACTTTTGTATTCTGACATAATCTTCGTCGATTTATCTTATTTTATACAATTCCTATTTATGCCTTTGCTGTGGGAAAGTAGTAACCACTGAAATCTTACGATATAAATATAAAAATGACAGGTTGCAAGCCTAAAACCTTTGATTCACTGTAAACTGCGTGTTGGTATAAATGTGAAGCCTGAAGTAACTGGTTTGTGAAATCATATGGTATGATATATACACAACCTGAAAGTGAAAGACTTTTTCGTATAAGTCGTCTATAACAAACCAACTCATACTTATCCTGCATATAGTTTGTTGGCTTATAGAAAATTTTCGGACCTCCCGAAGTATGCGCACCAAGATGGCGCACAACCTGAACTCAGGTTGTGTACCAGGTTAGGGTTCAGGTTATGCGACATCTTGGTGGGCATACTTCAGGAGTACCAAATTGTCATCATTATTTCCTTTTATTGAAGAATCCTGGAACACTCAAAGAAAACTGTATGGAATCGAAACAGATATTGAAGTATTGAAATCAGGTAAATCAGGAAAAGTTTGAAAAGTAAACACGAGTGAAAACACCAAATAACAAAACTAAAATATTTCAGAAAATAAATATAGCGCTCTTTTGTTCTTTCGTGGTTACTTTGGTATTGTTGTTTTGTAATGGGATAAACATAATATTCTGATTCCATATATATTACTAAGAAAAAGGAAAGCCTAAAATTTTCGTATGTACTTGTACCAGGTGCGAGGCTGCTCCCAGTTAATTCTTTGTTCTGTAATCATTTTGGACACGTAGTGGACATAACGATCGTTTCAATATTATGTTGTTGTTCTTGTTCTTGTTCTTGTTCTTTGACACGTTTTTAAAAAGTCGCTTTTCTCTTCGAATACTGGACCAATTGCTTTGAAATTTTCAGTGGTTGAAGATAGAATTTTTCTCCAGAAGGCTATTACTTTTTTTTTTCGCTATGACGTCATCAAAATTATTGCCATTGGGTGGCGCTACGTGTCCATATATTTGAGCATAGCTCTCTTGTTACTTTATCAGATCATAACAATAGTTTTAGCATAATGTTACAGATGTTGGAATAACAAAGGCATGATGGGCATGATAATAAAATGATTCTACATTTACAGTAATGCAACAAATTCAAGGGCAGCTGAGAAACCCTACATCGGTCTCGCCAGAAATCGCAAACTTTAGCACATGGTATCGAGCGCGGAACAACTATTTTTATAAAGTATTTGAAGTCAAGGCCACCTACGTTGAGGCAAAGGCAAATTGTAAGAAATACGGAGGTCAACTGGCATCGACGGGATATCGAGATGACAACGTTCGCAGGTGATTTGGGTAGTGGGGATGGGAAAGCGAATATATTCGTAGGACTGATTCAAAATGTCGATTCGAATGAAAGTTTAGATCCAAGCCCTCTAGTGCTTGTATAATACCCTTTTTAAAAAAACAATTTCGCCGCTATACATTTTGAAATACCTGTTCCCGGTCTATACTTTACCGATGGAATAACACATGCTAGAAATCCGAACAAAATGAATTCGAGTTTGGCCATCATTACTTTCACCTCTAAGCCTACTGATCCAACTATCGAATTGTCGTGCTATGCTTTATTGGTTGGTTGTTAAATAAGCAAAGAGAGACATAAATAATTTTTTTACAGAGAAATTTTACCCTTGGTCAGAACGGGAGGTCACACTTGGATTGGTTTGAACGACATTCAACATGAAAACACGTTTGTCTGGGAAGATGGTGTAACGGCAAAAGCAGATTCTATACCATGGCATGAGGGTGAACCGAACGATGCCAACGGTAATGAAGATTGCGTCGATATTGCTTCTGGCTTTGATTGGAATTTGAACGACCAATATTGTGGCGCGAAACTACAATATTTATGTGAGATTGCCACATAATTTCCACTTTACCACAAGCCAAAGAATGATGATGTCTGGATCCTAATAAACTTTAGCTATATCTAACCAAGATCGGTGGATATCAATGTTTGTAGATTATCAAATAAGAGAGCAATTATAAATAAACCTGTGAAAGTTTTCCTTACTTTCTATCTGAAGATTTAGTATTCTGAAACAAAGTTAAAAACGTTCATTAGGGCATGTAATATATATATAGTGAAGCTGGGGTCTGCGTCGACACCGGAGTTAAAATTTTAAATTTTAAGTCGAAGAAGCAAAATTTTCAATGAATAGATTTCAAGTTAAATTTCGAACAATATTTCCAAACTATACGAAGCTTGGCATTAGAGACTGAATCAAAATTTTGCACTTTGAAAAAGTGAAAATTAGGACACAACGCTCAAAGTTAAGAAAATATCTTACCTGTAACCAGAAATGTCGATTTTCGTGGGGTAAAAATTTGTAACTTCTTCGAGCGTAAGAACAAATTCCCCCATCCCATTGGCACCTAAATGTTTGCATATTGTCCATATACATTCAAGGTAACTCAGAAAATATTTCAATAATATGGTTTCGTTTTTGCAGAATGTATTTTGCTCTTATTATTTTTTTTATATATATGACGAATATTCACGCATTTCGCTCAACCCCCATACAGGCGGTTTGATTAAGAAAAACCGTCATTTTTGCGGTTTGGCATTACCTGTACCCAATTCACTACTCCCTGGACAAGGTTGTGCGATTTGAATCAAAGATCAACTCTTTACCGCTGTGCCATCGCGCTAGTTATATTCGATGGTTAAATAGTGAAAAAGGTATATGTATGATATATAATGCCTCCATCCAGATTTACCATTAGGCAAGTTTGGCTGAAGCCTAGAGGCCCCAGGCTTTAGGGGCCTCGACCTTAAATTAGAAACTGTTATTCAGTTTGAAGTCGTTTTTAAATTTTGAATGTTTATTTAAGAATTTTACAGGTTCAATAATTTAATTCAAAAATTGATGTTTATTTAATTTATAAACCAGGTTATTAATTGTTGTCGCAAATACAATCGGTTTACGAAATACAATAAATGAATTATTCTGTGATTGAAAAACTTTTTCCCTCGACTTAAAAAATATACTAACAGTTTTTTACCCTGATAGTGCATTTATTTTTTCAAAAAAAGGATAAAATAACGATATATAGCTATACTATACTAATTAATCTAACAAAGAACAAATCTAAGAATAAATCAGTTTATTGTACTATTTTTTAAATCTTTTTCTATTGTATACCCGTATATTACCAAAAATAGCGAATGATAAATCTTTATTAGTAATGTTTTATTTATCCCCTCTCGTGACTAGATGTGGTTGTTATTGGGTTACATAGGTTGCCCTGTTCCATGACATTTTATGACGCTTTTGGATTTACTATTCAACTTAGTATCCAATATATTCGGTTTTTAGCTTAGCCTACGTATGATGCGTGTAACTGGAATTTGGTATTTCACACAATTTAAACAGTTTTGATATAAAATATATTTTACATAATTTCCAAATCATATTAGGACGTCATATTTTAACCTTATGACGTCATTGTTGAGGAGAGGCCTTGCAATTGAAATAGTCTAGGCCTAGGGTCCTCTTACCGTTAGAATCCGACGCTGCGGAAACCCTTGCAGTAAACCGGTGTCCTTAATGATGTTGTTCACTAATACTCACTAATATCACTTTCTTTTACTATCATTGTATATTATCGAAATAAACCTGATTACTAGTTTGCTTCATGTTGATTTTATCAAAGGTCAGCCAAATTTTTATCTATTGCTGCACTAGGTAGGGTTAGAACACTAATACCGGAATAAGATCAGATGCTAATATTTAAAGCGGAGAGAGAAATGCCCATACAAAATCCGGTGCGCTTTGGTATGCGTTCAACCAAAGGAGGACATTCTCGTAGAATTCAGTTAAAACCCTATCTAAAATTACTAAGATTACACAGACGCTGAGATCGCATATCAAAGTAGATCTAACTGGCCTTGATCTAACTAGCTGCCTTGGTTGTTGGCACATTGTTTAGCAATTTAACTAAGTCAGCAAGTTGGATTTTGCGTAAAATCGAATGAGCTTTGTGGAATAGGAAAGATTCTATATTTTACAAAGCAGCTACGTTTGAGGAGTTACTTAAATCACAGTTGTTGAACTCGATAGGAATTATATTATTAATAAACCAGTGACCAGAAATTCGGGTATCACTAGATAATATGAGATATAGAAAAAGCTTTCAACACGAAAAGATTAACCGTTACTTGTTAAACACACTCATTTGCAGGTATGTTTCAATAATAATCCATGAAAAATTCATTAACAAGACTTTCGACTTATAAACAATAGCAAAAATGGATATGGTGATTCAGAAATAATAGTAAGTAAGTACATAAATATATTTTAACAGCTAGCTGATGCATACAGGAAAGTAATCCTCTGCGCTAAAGTTTGTTTGGAAGGTATTCATTTTCTTATGTGTGCCATTTCATAGCGCTATTCAAAATCTGGCTAATAAAGTTAAATAGAACTAATAAAATAATGCTATGAAAATTTACGTTTAATTGTAACAGCTATAGAAATACTATCTAAATACTTCTTCTTGTAAAAATGATAATTATTCACTAATAAAAAGCTATAATTTGTCTATAGTACAATCAGTCAGTCAGTCTATTATCAGTAGGCTATGTACGATTACGTTGCTTGGACTCCTGGTCACTAAACAATACTTCAGCAGTGTAGATATAAAAGATCAATGTCGCAAAACTATTCAGAACTGGATAAATGTGGACTACACTTCTAATAATTAGAGAAGATTGAAAATCCTAATATACTTCTGCAAAATTATTCAGTAAAACAATTTAGATCCAATTTATTTTATCAGCGAGTTTCAAATTCAATTTTCAACAGTACTCGTACTTTCAGTATTGTTTGAACATACACACAGCAGAGTATAAATGTAACATGTCATCTATGTTGTGGGAATGTAAGTATGCATTGCAAAAGTTGAGTTCAGTGGATATTTAGTCAAATATAGTAAAATAGAAAAATTTAAATTAATAGCACTAACGATTAATTTTTCCATTGCCTTCAGTTGAGAGTCTAGAATAATAATAAATATTTAGTTATTTCCGCCTTAAAGTTGTTTTATATGTATTGGAAGAACATGACTAAATATAGTTTAAATTCAGACTGTTTGTTATAAGACTATGAAATGACTTTTAATTTGAACTAAATACTGATTATGAGACTCAACTATTTAAAATCTGTAACAAGTGTGCTTTCATCCAGTTACTCTTTAATCGATCTATAAACTTTTTTTTTGTATTGACTACTGCGTTTTTCGTATTCCTATTTTCATTTCAGAAAAAAAAAATTAGTATTCGTTTTTCACTTGTGTCTGTAACGTAACGAATAAAATTTATGCATATTCAAAATCAGATCTAAATAAATAAGAATAACTCTTATTTCTTCATATTTTTAATGATTCCAATTTTCAAAATCATACCATTATTGCTTTTAATATTTTTACTAACCAGTGCCTGGCAGGGTCAAAGAAGTTGCAGTTGTTAAATCAGTAGAACTTGAGTTTTCTTGAGAATTCTTTATGAATTCATAAATTTAACTATTATGGCGCCACTTTCTGTAGAACTTTCAGTAGAACTTGAGTCTTTGGTTCTTTGGTTGAATGAGACCAAGAATAAAACAACATTTTTATTTGATTGAGAACACTATAATAATAATATCATCGAAGATAAATGTGATAATTCCCTAATCAGTTTTATCTCTTGTGTATATTATCATAAAACAAAATCTATAAGTTACTTGGTAATCCGTTGGTTTCTTGAATTCCTAATTTTGAGTAATTTTGTTTAAATTTTTGACCAATCCACTTTTGATTGATATAAACTAATTCACTCGATAGAACTTTAAACGCAAAAACGTAGATTTTTACCTATATATATTTTTCAATAACTAAAAATATTTAAAACCCAAACGTACCTCCGTCGAATAATTTTGCAGCAAAAGCATGGTTCTCATTACCAAAAAAACTAGCAAATACAACAAATATCGACAATAAAATTTTCGAGTAGTTTGTTAATGAAATGATGGCTATAACATGTCATCAACAAATTACTCGTTTCGAATAACGTCTTAGATTTGCGATATTTACCGTATGAATCATATTGTCATAAGCAGGTATTAAATATAAAACAAGTTATTACAACATTCTTCAATATTGTCAAACATTTTGGCATCAAAAAATTATATCGTATGGTTTTTAATAAAAGATTGAATTGAAATGCTCCGTTTTCCCCTGGGTTACATTGTTTTGTAATCTCGAATAATTTTATAGTGATGATTACAGAGAAATAATAATGGAGCGAAAAAATGTTGCAAAGCATGATAAAACTCTGATTTTCATAAAAATGATCGCCTTTATTTATATGTATAGTATATGCAGTGTGTGTATTATTATGCACAGTGGCGTATCCAGGGGGGTGGTTTTGCGGGTCGAAACCCCCCCTTGAGAATTTAAAAAAAAATAAAACCATTTTTCTTTATCATACATAGCAATTTGCCGTAGTTTGAAACGCTTTTTAGACCCCCAAGACTACTAAAAACACGCGTATTCTAGCGTTCGATCGGACCCGCTAGCAGTTTCGATCTAACTTGACAAAAAAAATTTCAGAACCCGCCCCTTTGAATATTTCTGGCTACGACCCTGATTATGCAGCATTTTACAATCACATCCAGCGCGCCAATTTTGATGAATTTTCAACATATGTTATGCAATAGTTTGAGCATATACAAGAGTGCTACTGACGTCAATAGGAAACATTAAAAACAATCAACAAGTCTTACCAAAACGTAATTTTATTTAGTGAAAAGCCCAAATTGAGGTAGCTTGTTGGAAATCCTTGCCACATCATGTTATCAGTGTTTAATTCAAAAAGTTCATTTTTGATATGTTTTTTATATGTTTGCCTTCTTGGTGATGGAAATCATGTTTTGCTTGTTTAGACGTTAGATAACTGCAAATGGGTAACTTGCGCCACCGCGAACGACCAGCGTTATATTCGGCATTTTGAAGTTATCTATTGAATTTATTTGAAGCGTTTCATGTTACAGACATTTAGTGATACACATAGTAAAAATCGGGCACCCTTGTCGCTCTATTTATCTTATATTATGCACGAGAAATGCTGAAAATATTACTGCTAATGTGTTACTAATACTATTGAGTGTAGCGATCTAAAAATATTTCCGAAATAAATTAAAATCACCATAGAAACCATATCGTAAAAACTATCCAGGTAACAAACTTTCACACATGCGAGTCAATTCATTGCATTTTCATACGTCTTATCAACACCGCAATTACCATTTTAGGGATACATTGTTTTCTGAATAATATAAAAACATTTATCGAAGCCTGAATTTTTTTATCCTATTTGAACTAATAAATGACACATTTCTAATCAATATATTTGTTATTTCTCCTGACTCCAGCCTGTTTCGGAACACGTGGAGGCATTGAACTTGGCAGATATTCCCATGTCATGAAGAGCATTGATGAACGCTGCAACCTGTGACAAAGTGGGATTTCAACTTGGGAAAAATCCACGAATCACACGATGCTCTGAGAAACGGAAAATGTATGCATTAACAATTGTATGCTCAATTCAATCTGTTCAATCAGTTTCTGCGATAAAACTCTGATATCATCAGACGCTACACAGAGCTTACATGATAGAGCTTTATTTCCAAGATAGGTAGAGAACAAAACGTATTGATTCATTGAGAGTATTGTTCTCATTCAAGTATTTAGTCTGTTGCCCAATGCAGAACTAAATAATTTGAGCCGTTGATTTAGTTTGCAATATGTACGAGTGCTTCTAACTTGGTTAAAGAAAATATTATATTAGTTCCAGGATTATCACGCAGGATACATTTTCCATACCTTTATCAGCTATTCCGTTCGCCGGACAAATGAAAAGTGTCAAAATAATTTTTGTAGTCAGTCAGGTAAACAGAGTTTTCATTGGTTAGAAAGTTGTCCGATATAAACAGATAGAAGTAAATTCGCTTTATTGCATCATAAACAATAATTCAATTTGTGAAATTTTGTTAAGGCTGAACATGTTTTTATATATTTATCCATATTCATAACGGTTGCGCTATCAAGTCCGTTCATTTCTTTTTCGTGATCGTCGTGACGATAATCTAAAAATGTACGTGTGTTAAATAAAGTAACAAAAGTTGAAAAGTTGACTGTACTTTTTGCTATTATGTTACTCTGACAAACTATAGCATTATTATTATATAGCATTGGAATTTCTACAAATTTGGCATACATCAACAGGTAGTAGTTTTTTTGTATATACTAACAATCTTTTTTCTGATTTCCTTAGGTGATAAGTTCCATCTCCGTCATAATCAACATCAAATTCAATTTCTACATTTTTGAGAATTGATAGCACGTTACAAAAATTAACATTCTTTACAACTTTAAATCTAATTTTATGATTATGATATTCTACTGAAAATCATATTATTAATTGGTATGTGCATAGGCTTTTGTTGGCTCAGCAGTTGTTATTCTATGATTGCAAGATTTGGGTTCTATTCGATATCAGTATAACTTTATTCATAACATGATTCCAAGTGGTCGGTTTTCAAAAATAGTTCACACGAGCTACGAAAAATAATTGTTTAATTGATGAATCATTTAATTTATATTTTTTCTACTGGAGTTTTTGTGATTTAATTAACTATCCTCAAATGCATTGAATAAACTCAAGATGAAATTTTATGAGAATTCTTTATGGATTTATAAATTTAACTATTACGGCGTCACTTTCTGCGTCAATAATATTAGGCGCTTGAAAGGGTCGGATCGGGGCTTCAACATGGTTTTCTGTGGTGATTTAATGTGTGCCTTTGTTAAAATCATATTTTAAATAAACTTCAGACTAAACCACTAGAAATTCTTAACAAAGTTTTTTCGGTATTTCATTTTTAAATATTTTTAACTTTAAAAAGCAGATATTATAGAAATATATATCTCGAATAAAATATACATATACTAAATATTGAATACTTTATTTAAATTAAAAGCATAAATTAGGGTTACCTAATCTGGAAAGACAAAATCCCTGACAAAATTTTAATGAGCCACATTGCCCAATTTTACAACCGAAACACTTATACTGTACAATGTACAGTTTTATGGTATAAATTCACGATGTGTCTAAAGGCACCAGCTGTCGTCTCTTTCTCGTGAGAGTAAAATAAATACACAACAAAACGAAAGGAGCAAAATTTTTGCTTAATCTTCAGCACTAGTGACTGAACCTTAGCACGGAATAAAGTACATTTAAAGGCTGTGCAACCAAAATACCGATTACAAAATGCTGGCAATTCAGGTCATATGTGACGTCACAATTATCTAAATCCGACGCAATCCGTGTTGCATAAAAATGCTAGAATGTGACATATATCTGAAAAATAGGATTTCGTGGATGCGCAAAATCTGAAAACTCGAGGATTTGTAGCAGGGATTCACTGTATTCGAAAATCGCTGACATTTAAGCACTTTTGAAAAATTTCTCCCATACGCAAATTTGACCACTAAAATCCCGGACATGTCAGGGAAAAATATGGCGTATGGCAACTTTAGCATAAATATCTTTCAAAATTTTGCATACATTGATTGAACAATTTAAGCAGCGTAACACCTTTGCAACGAATAGTAAGATTTTTCTCTTCCTCTGAAACTGTTACATGACACCATGTTCTTTTGTAACTTGAATCCAGATTCTGTAGATGTGAAATTACTGAATCTGACACAAAAAAAGCATAGACGTTATAGCCAAAGAATAGCCAGCACATTTCTCGTATTATCAACGATAAGCTCTGGTGGGGTATTATGACATCATAGATTGGCGCCTATTGGGCATTCATCAACAACTAGGCGCACTCGCAGTTTTTTGTTTTATATTCTCCATTAAGCGTTAATTAATTTGATTATTTTGGAGCAGTTTATCGCCTATAGTCAAAGAATAGTTCTCTGAAAAAAAGGTTTTCAGCCAACACGTTTTTCGAGTTATCGACGATTAGCTGTAGTGGGGTATGATGACATCATAGATTGGCGCCTATTGGACATTTATCAAGAACTACGCACACAGGCAGTTTTATATTTTCCACCAAGCGTTATTTTGTAGACAGTTTATTGCCAATAGCCAAAGAATGGTTCTCTAAAATAGATTTTCAGCCAGCCCATTTTTAGTATTATCCACGATCAGCTCTTGTGGTGTATTATGACATCATGGACTGTTGCCTATTGTACATTTATCAAGAACTGCACGCACCGGCAGTTCTATGTTTTATATCTTCCTTAATTTTCTGTTACGTACAGTGTCTTCCTCTATCATTGCGTAACAAAAGAGGTAGACACTATTTGCTGAATTTCGTGAGCTGCAGTTTATTTATCATCTGAACCGAGTTTAGTAAACATGAGTGATTTTTTAGTATTTCAAAGGAAAACAAATTTTAAAGGGCATAAAGTACAGATTAACGATCATAAAATTTTAGCTTGCAAAACTTGCAAATAAAAATAACCGATGCAAATAAAAGATATTTCATTGAAAAATGTTTCCCAATATGGGGACTCCGATGTGTGCGAGTGCGACAAGAATATATCGCTATATTATGGATTGATTTTTTGCGTATATCCTGTGCGTCCTCTGTCTGTTCAATGTTTTGAAATGAGAAACCTACGTTTCACATCGTACAAATGTTTTAAAAATTATTTAGAATTTATCTTCCTAGATTTGTAAAAATTTGTATTTCGTAGTTGTGAACAGTAAGAAGACAAGCAATAGAACTTGATGTAGAGTGAACATAGATAGAAGTTACCCACAAGTTTGTGCTAAGCTCATATTAGTTAAATATGATTTTCTCAATTTCATAAAAAAGTACACTTTCAGGTATTGTGTACTGCTGACAAAGCATGAGCGGGTAATGAGGAACTCTATAGTCAGACTGAATAAATTTACTGTGAAAGAATCTAGTTTTGGCTTTTTGCTTTGCAAGGAATCAGCATCATCATCTAAATTCTAAAGAACTGTGAGACTTCAAATTTGTAGATTTAGTTTCTTTCGATCACTAAACTATTTACTGCTTCAAATGAAACAACAAAAAAAACTTTTAAAACCAAGAGTAAAATGTCTAATTCCGACCAAATGCAAATAATTTACTTTTTCGAATACACTCTGAAAAATATTTTTCAATCTAGATATATATATTCCATATTGGGCCCTGGGCCAAAAGATACCCCAATGGTACACAAAACCATAACGCATCTTCAGGCCTTTGAGCACTCAATGGATCCAACACTGTCGAATTGTGCCCAGTGTAGCAAGTCCCACTAACCCCGGTACACTGAACCCCATAGGAATCAAACATTTTATGACTGCACCATGCCGAGATTAGGAAAGCACATCCACTCGCCAACGTTATGAACATTTCACAGTGGACTTTGTTAGAAAATACAAAACAGCGGTTTGTCTTGTTGGAAAGGGTAAAGTAGAAAAAAGAAAAGACTGAGATGGCGAAATTTTAGCCTCAACCCGCCAAAACCAATTTGATCTCATAGCTTGGGTCGCTGTGTACGGCTGATATCCGTTTCCGAGTACGTCGTAATTCACCGAAAGACGGAGTCAAAAATCGAATTGAGTACCTGAATTCGGATATAGTACGAGCGTGAGAGCTGCTTTTCTACTGTGCTCATGTCCCATCTCCCCCTACTCCACTAGAACTATGAAATGATCAACGTCAAATAAGAAGCATAAAGTAGAGGCATTTTATTTTTGTTCAATTTCTTTGTAACAAGCTTCTAGATTTTACCAAGATAATTGAAATTATTTATACAAAACAGAATGTCATTTCCACAAAATAAACTTATGCTCGATAACACGTTTACATATTCACTGCAGGTAAAATCACGTATCGGTCCTAGTTACTTTAAACATGATATCAGGTGTTAATTTATTTCTCATACTATTATCATTCATAGCATGGACATCAACTGCATCCGAATCACAGATATGTTATCTTCCCCAGGCCATGGAACTTGACGTTGAAATGGTAAAGTGGAGATAGGATCTTGAATTATGGCTAAAATAGATGTGTGTTTAGGCTATATGTTATGGTCACTTTTGGAACAATATTAAATAGTAATAAATTACAATCAAGTTATTTGTCAAAATCATTCTTGTATATCGTGTACTAAATTAAGTTAAACTAAATCAAATGAGCCCAATCAACTCATTCCTGTATTTTTTCTTATTTTATAGTTACCAAAAACTTCGTGGTATTCCGGACTGCATACAGATGATATTACAGCGTCTATGCTCTCCTGTATCAGATTAAATAATTTTACATGCACAGCATCTGGGTTTGGGCTTGTTTCAAAGGAGCATGGTGTAAGGTAACAAATTTCATTGGAAATTGATAAAGAACCATAAAACTATGTTACGCTGCTCAGTTTACATCACAGGCTTAGCTTGGTCGACTTAAACAAGATTGGCGCAGCGGTGTGACTCATCGTGCTAAGCGATAGGAATACGTTCGCCACCGCACCTCTAATTACTCTGCGTGGGTTCGCAGGTTCGAATCCCATTCGGGGATAGTTATGTGCGAGAGGATTGCTGGACTCTTTGTCACCGTAAGGTGGTCCACGTAACCGGTGGTCGGTTACGGCTTCCTCTACCATTTCCGAAAACAAATAACTAACTAATCTCATACTTGACATGGAATGGTAACCGGACGAGAGGACGTGGTTCGCCATATGGTTAAGCCGTCTTATCGACTTTTCTTTCCCCTGGGATAAATATGTAAATCTTATCCTATCCTATTATAAAACACGAAAACAATCATAAAAATCATAAAAGAAATATGCAATTTTCTTTTCATGTCTATATATTTTCAATTGAGGCTATAACTCTTAAATATTTATAAGGGCTTTAAAAGTTACATTATTTAAGTCGAAAGTATATAAACATTTATAAGAGGCATCTCTGTATATTCGCGTTCACTCATGTCTATTATATTTTGTGTCCCTCTCTAAATTTCACATATCTGATTTTTTATATATTTGATTGAGCTTTTTTTCAAAATTAACGAGTGTAGTTCCGCTAGGTCTTGATTCCGTCATTCTAATTTCTCCGTATTGCTGACATCGACTTCGTTTGTTTGTTGTTCGGTCCCGGTAGTAATACTAATTGGAAACATTTGCTTTGTAGCATAATATCATAAACATATTCTCAAAATTAAATGTCAAAATTCAAAACAATATTTTGTGACGCCGAGTAATAGGATAACGCGCATTGGACTGCAGGTCCTTTCTCCTTGTCTATACTTCCTGTTTTGTCTGAAGTTGAACTATGATCTAACGAAAGCTTACAAATATACTCACTTTTTCGTGTAACGTTCCTGTATTTTTTAGATATGTAGAATTTGAATTTCATTTTGAATATGACGGAGATGGGATTTATCATCCAAGGAAATCAGACGCAGGTTGTATTTATATATATATACAAAAATCTATGACTTGTTATGAATGTGCAACATTCGTAGAAATTTGGATGCCACAAATGATCATTTCATTTTTTTGTCAGTCTGTTTGCAAAGTTTGATATTTCCATTGCATTTTTTCTATTGAAACACATTTGGTATTTTATTCATTACACATTCGTTTTCAGAATATATTCACGCAGAGCATGAAAAAGAAATGAACGGACTTGATAAGGAAGTCGTCGTGGATATGGGTATATATACGAAAACATGTACATGTTCAATATAATATTCAATACAAGAAGGAAAATTTATTTATGCGTTTTATATTTATCAGACAACTTTCTAATCAATGGAAAAGCTGTTTTTCTGACTGACTACAAAAATTATTTAGCAATTCTGCAATGCCCACGCGACGGATCAGTTGACAAAGGTATGAAAATGACATGATACGTTATAAAATGAGAAACATCAATCTCGTTTGAACAAAATTACTATAAATCATTTGAATATATTGCAAAAACATAGAATAGTTCAAGTATTCAATAAGTATTTGTAATGCAGCAGAATAAATACTGCAATAGGAACAGTACTTACAAAGAACCGAAACATTTTATGATCTGCCTATATAAATGCAAACGTATTTAAACGAACCTCCTGCTTGAAGTATTTTTCTATTTTCAGAGTATCGTTTGATTCGTGGATTTTTTCCGAGTTCAAATCCAGATTTGTCACAGGTTGCAGTGTTCATCAATGCTCTTCATGAAATGGGCATATCTGCCAAGTTTTATGCCTCCACATGTTCCGAAACAGACTGGAGTCATGAGAAATAACGAATAAATTGATTAGAAATATGTCATATATTAGTCCAAAAAGGTTAATAATATTCAGGCCGAGATAAAAATATTTTACTCAGAAAATCACGTATCCCTGAAATGGTAAATACGGCGTTGATATGACGTATAAAATACAATAAATTGACTCGTCTATGTGAAGAATTTGTTACCTGGTAGTTTTGACGACATGGTTGCTATATGGTTGAAGTACACGATATGTCTGAACTCAGGTTGTGTACCAGGTTAGGGTTCAGGTTATGCGACATCTTGGTGCGCATACTTCAGGAGTACCCGTCTAACATCTAAACAACAAAAAACAGAAACGGCGACCCCATTACTGCTTGTTCCAGAATATAACCGGTAATAACTGAAAGTTGTTTATCTTTTTATCAGGTTAATAATTTTTGTTGCGAATGTTTCCCGTTCAAAAAGTTAAAAAATTAAAAGCAGTCGAGTAAATAAATTTTCCCAAATTTAAAAAAAAATCCATTTTAACTTTATAAAAAATAAATTAATTGAGATATATTAAAAAGTTTTTACCGTGATAATGCATTTTTTTTTAAAAAAAAGATGTAATTCCGACCAATTGCCAAGGCCAGCTCCTCGTTTGTTCCCAGCTCATAATAATACTCGTTCGAAAGAACCAAAGGCTTGGAATCTTGCGATAGTCCGAATTTGATTTTTTATTCAAATCTTCATTTATTGTGATTATAAGTTTGAATACATATGGATCAATATATGTATATATGGATCAATAAGTTGCAAGCATACTTGAATCTATGTATGAAATCGTTCATTGTGGACATCGGTTAGGAAAAAATTCGCCGCAGAGCGTTTTGCTATGAATACAAATAACTCGTGTCTGTTTTTATAGGCGCTAATTATATGTCCCCCAGGTGAGGGCCACATGTGATCAGCGTTCCAGGGTTTGTACCACCCTGCTGTAGATAAATAATTTAATGTTAATTTTTAGCTATTTTCAACTTTAAAAATCAACTCGAAAAAAAATATACAGACCTGAATAATTAAATTTTGCATGAATCAACCGAACATTGGTCGGAACCGGAAGTCAAATGAAACAGCGTAATATATTTGTATTCTGTAGATTTTGCTTTTTGCTTCTAAAGCAGCCTGGAATCCAGTTTTTGTAGACGTGAAATTAGTGAATCCGGTACAAGATAGCATAGACGTTATATCTTATGCCATCAGTCCAGAATATCACGTAGTTTTTGGTAACGATAAAATAGGAAAAACTTAGAAGATGCTAGCATGGTTAGAACTTGATACTAGTTACACAAAAATTGTCTTGAATAATAACGGATTGACAGTTACTATTATTCAGTATTCACCTAACAAAACATGTGCTGCATAAAAAAAACAGCAAAAACAAGTCACTCTAATTTAGTCAATTTAAATTATTATCTTCAGCATACCTTTCCAGCGTCGATGGGCGCTCCCGTAGTATGTGAACCATGTTAAAAAGCTGTATTTCCGCGGGTATGGAAATAGGTACTCCCGTAGAATGTGAACCAAGCACCTGAACATAGTATGTGTATCAGATTAGGGTTAGGCCATAATTTTATTTCAATTTCCCTTATTTTAGTTCTATCACGAGTTAGGGGATTAGCCAAGTGACTTCCGTAGTATTTGTACCTGAAATTATTCATGTTTCGAGTGAAGAATGTTACTCATTGTTTCGTTCTATCCTTCTATTTTGACTTTACGTCAAAATGTACTGTTTATGATTTGAGTGCAGAATCTCTAAGTCAGAGGACGCACAGGATACACGCAAAAAATCAATCCATGTTGTGGCGATACATTTATGTGGCAGTTCCACATAAGATAGCGTAATTCAGTAACATTGCGTATAAATGAAATATTTTTTATTTTCATTGCTTAAATGTTTGTTTTAAATAACTGAAACAAAAAAGCAAAAGAATAATCATTCGACAGTCCGAGGCAACTCTCTGTGTATATATATACAGGGTGATCAGACCAAGTGTGGACAAATGTTTATTAAAATATGTATATATACACAATATAAATGTAAGGAAAAAATATTTTGCAGAAAATAGCATTATAAAGATAAATAAATAATAGAATTCCATGTTATTTCTCGATATATCCTTTTTTGCCTTCACTACACGCCTCGATCTGATTGGAACTTGAATGCACGAGGTACGTATGGTTTCTTCCGAAATTTTGTCCCAACAAGTCATCAATCTATGAATTAGAGCAGTTGTTCTCAATCTGAGTTACGTGCATCACTAGTCATTCACGGAAGCTTTTCAAGTAATACGAAAGCAGCTTTGAATTATTGCAACAATTAACTTTTGTATTCGCTAAACGGCGTAAGTGCAGTTTTAAGTATTCTGTGGCGTCTGCAGCTGCCGCAAAACCATGGCGGTATTTCCATACCATGGCCGCTACGGCCAAACCTATGGCGACTGACTTTTTAGCTGCCACAAACCAATGACGAGCTGCCGTTACCGCGGCAGCAAATTGAAAACCAATTGCAGATGAAATTTTGCTGCCGTAACCACGGCATGTGGGCCGTAAATACAGGCCTGTCCCTTATGGTGACAAATATTGGGTAAGTTGGGACGTTTTTCTTATGGATGCAGTATTGATGGGTTTGGGGTTAGGGTTAGGGCTTAAGTAGATATAATTCCGCATGATCAATTGAAATCTGGTACATTCATTTGTGAATATACCGTCAATACTGATAACTGAATAGCGCTATAATACCATGGAAAGAGCTGCCGCGGTTCGTTCGTGGCACGAGTTGCCATGAAGTGGTAAGAACTGCGCCTCAAACGGCGTTTATAGCGCTACCAGTTCTTGTCTTTTATCGCTCTCGCCCGTTACTGTCCACCTAAAACGAAACGGACATGTTTTCGCAATTTTGCGCTTTACTTCACAATACGTCTTATCACAACCACTAAATTATCCGAAACCTCGGACAAATAAACTTTGATTTGTGCTAGCCGCTATCACGAACGCTTCCTTATTTGCCGATTTATAAATGCAGACGCATTGTAACGTAACACGCAAAGCGGCGAAAACATGCCTGTTCCGTTTATCGTGGACAGTGACGGCGAGTGCGACCTCTAAGGACAAGGATTGGTAGCGCCATGAACGCTGTTCAGCGAATACAAAAGTAGATTGTTGCAATAATTCAAAGCTACTTGCGTACCACTAGTGGCGCGCGCACCTCAGGTTGAGAACAATTGATGAATTGCTGGGACAACATTTCAGAAGAAAATATACGTGCCTCGTGAAGTCAAGTTCCAAACAGATCGAGGCGTGTAGTGAAGACAAGAGGAGAATATCGTCACACTAATAACCGAATTGCGCAAGTCATTTTTAGCAGTTTTGAGAAAAACGTAAAAAACTTCCTAATGATATTGTTATGCCATTGAGAGTCAATAATTTGTCATGGTTCAATTTTTTGATCGTAGCCGGATTTAAGTTAATTTGTATGACGCAGTTACGTGACGTCATAATGGCGCACTGTGACTTAGGCAAAAATGTGTTTATGACATGGGGACATACGCAATTTTGCAACTTTACTTACTATATGCACCAGTCCTGAAAACTAAACATTCTAAAAACGAATGTAATTCTCAGTATCTACAATGTCTAATCCCCCAAAAAGCTAATCAGTTTCAATTGCATTATTTTTTATGTTTCAAAATATATATTTCATCAATATAACACGTTCTGCACATCCACCGAAAAAAGACTAAGATTAAATATAAAGAATAAAACATCAATGCACCCAAACTAAAAGCCAACCAAGGTGTATTGGACTCGGACAGTAAATATCACAAGTGCACGCCTTCCTATATTGTAGTATAAATTCAAATTAATACGCGCTAAGCTAGAATCCGAGATGCGAAAACTCGAAAATACTTCGCCGAGGTTATTTTCCCTTTGTGACGTCACAATAGTCCTGCGGTAACAATGATAATTCATTATGACGAAACAATTACACAAATGTGCATGTCATACTAAATCTTCATTTTTATGAGTTTCGGAATTCTTGAAATAAAATCTGAGTTAACAGACAGGTGCGCAGCATCACATAAATACCTATTTTATAAAAAACTCAAACTCGCCAAAAATGACTTACGCAATTCGGTTATTAGCGTGACGATATATCGAAAAATAACAATAAATTCTATTATTTATTTATAAGGCTATTTTCTGCAAAATAATTTTCTTATCTCTCACATTTATATTGTAGATATTTTATTAAACATTTGTCTACACTTGGTCTGATTACCCTGTACATATATATACGGTGGGCCAAAAAATGTTACCACCTAATAGAAAATTTCGAATACAAATGATAACGGGAATAAGTAAACATAACAGGTTGTCTGGAGAAGACAGACTGAGGAGAACTTTCGCTAATTATCATTCAGGGACACCTAGGTTCTAATATATAACTATATTAAGAAGGTCGAAAATTTCATTTTCGTTGTAAGGTTCGTTTCGGTCAGCATGATGACTTTGACAGGATAGCTTAGTCGCCCACTAGATATTTTATCATACAGCCAGTCGATCCCACAGATACTGATTCAACTGAAGCAAAGTTGAATCTTTTGTTGAAAACAGTCGGGTAACTCCGATGCCGACACTTACTCAAAAATTAAGAAAGCTTAACAATTATGAAGGTAGCATACACCTCAGTGTGTTAAACAGAATCCTTAAATATATTATTGTTGAAGAAACAAAACCTGAGCAATCTCGTTTAATCGAAGATTTATACTAGAATTATTTCTGCCACTTGTCCAAATACGTGTGTGCCCTATATTCCTAAACCTTGTGCAATTCAAGTATTTTTTTGGCTCCGTGGTAAACATTTAATGTCCATATTAAGGCTTCATTTCAGTTTAGATATTTACCAATTTTATTTATTTTTCTATATCTCTTCTTTCTTTTGCTTAAACTTGATCACACAAAACCACTAAAATTTTTAAGATCAGGTGTAAGAATGAAATTTCTGCAGAATGCCTTCATTGGTGCAAAACATCCATATTTTACCGCCATCAGTTGTTTCTAAGCTAATCTTACGATTTATGACAGTTGTTACGTTCTGGGTCCTTGTATGGTCGTTTAATAAAGATGGAGAAAGGGTATTTTATGGCGTTATTGTCACCTTCTAAAAACTCGTAGTATAGACTCTGGCCACATGGGACGTGAAAGTAGGCCAATAACGAATACTCTTGGCGACTCAGGTACACTTCCACGAGACGTGTACTAATAGCACAAATGTTTATTTCTTCTCATTTTATTCGAGGAAACACCAACATAATTTACTTATTGCTATATTGTACAAATAACGGAGAATAAACCTGGCGACGAAATGCAAATCCAACAATAATAGGCCAATTACGAAACTTTGTGAGTCGATATTATTCAAAAATTACGCATAGTAACTTGGACAATGTTAATATAATGGGATTAAATATAGTATATTTATTATTCTATCGGCAACTCTTGGCTCCAGTTAGTTTCTGAACATGTCGAAGGATAAAACTTGGCTGATATTCCGACACCATGTAGGACGTTAATAAATGCTGCAACTTGTGACAAAATTGAATTTGGACTTGGAAAAAATCCCCGAATCATTCGATGTTCTGAAAAAACAGTCATGATAATATGCAAAATAAAGAAAAACACAAATAAAAGGTGCGATTTATTTTGGTTCCAGGTATGGTTCTAAGGCGTCCATGTATGAAAGTTTTGTCATGAATCTACAAATATGCTTCAGCTGCATATCATCAATTTGTACCTGTATTCGAACTTCTTATACAGAAAAATTACTGTATTTAATTTAACATGTGTAATGCCGTACATCATACCATGATCAGATATCCCTCCTGGAGGACATAGAAAACTTGCAAAATAGTTTTCATAATCAGTAACAAACACAAAATTTCCGCCAGCTAGTAACTGATCTGTTAAAACAAAGAATCAATTGTGTTAATATTTACACAGATAGGAAACGGAAGGAAATGTTTTTGAATTTACAATTGTGTTCATTTAATTATATTTACCCATATCCAACACCGCTTCGTTATCATGTTCGTCCATTTCGCTTATGTGCTCAGCGTGATTAATTCCTACATTAATGAAATTTAATTTAAACGAATTTCATGAGAAACTATGGACCTTGCGTAGAAAGCCTTCGCCACTAATGCAAAAATGTGAGATTTCAGAAAGCACCCCCGCCAGGTTTAAAATAAAAAATTCGTAATTATCTAGTTCGGTTTCTGAATGTTCGAACATTTCCAGCGAAATCTGCAATCTAAACCCAAACTGGTTAATTGTTTTTTAGCGGTGTGGTATTTAAATCTTTGAAAATAGACAAACTGGCGTATTCAAAACAATATTAATTCATGTGTATGATATATAATATATATGGGTTTGAACGGGAATATTCTGGAATAAATTTAGGAAATATCAATTTTATTCGAAGCGACATACCTCTATCTGATTTACTCAGATGATAAATTCCATTTTCGTCACGATTGAAATGAAGACCAAATTGAACATATCTGAAAAGCATAACAATTGTTATAAAATGTATAATTTTTATAACATCCGGTAATAAAAAATCTTTGTGGCACATTGTACACTATTGAATTTATAACACTATAAGTAAAACGACAACAAAGTTACAACTTTACTATGCTGCAGTTTTTTGCAACAATTCCAAATTTCAATCCTTCATTTTTTCTTAGTTGTTTTACCTGGACCCATGTTCGGTTACAACAACTCTAAACCCAGAGTTGGTATACGTGAAATTACTGAATCTGGTACACGAGAGCATCGATGCAACAACATCCGCCGTCTGAAGTCCGGTATACCATGAGGTTTTGGATAGCTGTGATATTGAAGAGAATAACATTATGAAGGTAAGAAATTGGAAAAACTTCCAATTTAATATAAGCAAATTCTATTTTAACATATTTTAGAATAAGTTCATTTTCGAACATTTAATGCTTTAATGCTCATTAAAATATCTTTCGAAACATTTGGGAGATTCACACAAGAATCGCATCTTAACATATTTAATACTTGTACAATAGATGGTAAGTAATTACCTTTTCAACGTCAATCTCCTTTCTTACTTTAAGAAGATGACATTTCTGTGATTCGGATGAAGTCGATATAAATTGTAATGATAGCGATAGCACAAGCAACAAAAAACTTCGAAACATGATGATTTGGGGTGATAATGCGTTTTATAACAAGTTCTGTAATAAATATACATAAATAGTCCATATTTCTGTTTTGTAGATTCACTGTATTATATCATGAAAAAAAAACTATCACTGCTGGTTTTCAAATACTTATATTATTGTATAAAGCTGCACGAAAATGAAATGTGTTGTATTTCTCATTGCTACGATATAACTGCTGATTCAAGCTTTGTTAGCTCGGTTTTAAATTCTTCCCCTGCCATGATTTTATTCCATCGTTTCAAAAAGGTGTTTAGTTTCAAAAAACGTAACGTGTGACTCATTTTTTTTTTAATTTTAACTTCACATGGCCACCTATTGTGGCCAACGTAAGCTTGCGCAAAGATTGCTATATCTTGTAAATTGGTGTTCTTCTTTTTATTTCAGTATAGCAGTAATGTTTAAGTAAATAAAATCCTAAACGGTGTAAAAGAGTTTTCCTCGAATGGTTTCACTACAATTTTATTATTTTAACTTGAAACTAGCATTGAATCTACTACTGCAAAGCATAATGGCTCAACAAGTCGAAAAGTTCATCCATGTACTAGTCATGGACACACCGCCAAACTCAGCAACTGCTCAAAAGTCATTGGGAACGAATGGTGACGAGCTTTATGAATTCTGTAAACAGCTGGAGACTCATCTTCGCCGCCGACAGAAACATCAGAGCCTGCGATAGAGAAGTTGGCAATTATTACTGGTTACTTTTCTCCTGATGCATTTGTTTATACCGAAGAATTAATCACATATGATACTGCTATGTGCAAACTTGGGAATGTATACAACAGGGAAAAAATGAAATGTTTTGCCATGCATAAATTGCCGACGAACAACCAAAAAAAGGCGAAGGCGTAACAGAATTTGTTCAACAATTGTCTCCTTTAGTCCGAGATTACTAGTTCAAAGTTTAAACGACGATTAATGAGGCCCGAATTATTAACGATTGACGTTTCAGATTGTCGGTTCATTGGAGAGTACGGAAAAGTTAGCTCACTCTTACGAAGAATGTGTGAGTGACCAATTAATGGCCTCATTGTCAGTAAATGAAGCATCTGAAGCTATAGCAAACAAGGAAAACAGAAGTGATGATAATGACAGCTCGTGTTCTTGAGCAAGTGTAATAAAGCCTTCTAGATCTCCGTTGAGAGCTCAGGTTAAAGTGACCAAAGATACTCGGCATAAGAAAATACTCCTAATTGATTATTTTCATACGGTAAGCAGATACACCTATTTAGATGATTATCCATTGCTACAATAGAGGAGATGGTAAATCAGGCAGCCAACGGACGTGCATTTTCTACTATATATTTGATATCAGCTTTTTAATCCAGAACATGTTGAACTTAATACAAATCTAAAAGGATCATGGACGTTTCTTTTTTTTCGTATTTTCATTTGTTACTCCGAAGTAAATTAGATTAAAACGTTTCACATGCTAAGATTCATTCAACAAAACTACTATAGAAAAAAATATGCAATAAGAAACGACTTTTGAAATCTATCAATGTATCTAGGTTTAATTTTATATAGTAACTTATGGGAGCATAGCACTTGTTATCAATACAATTCCTAGAACAAAACTGTAGGTGGATTAGCAAACATAGGAACTGAGAAAACATGTCCAGTTAGAAACGAACGAGAGAAAATAACGTCAACTTAAAAGTAACTTGGTCTGGGATGATACATAAGAAATTTTATAAAGTAATAGGTTTTTGCCCATTTTATACGAACACCTTCCGTGTCACGGTCAGTTTTTGAATTTTTACTAGTGAGTGCCGCGGTGAAAACGAGAGAGCTTCTCTTCTATTTATTCTCTCTCGTACTTTGGTAGAAATTTCAACTGAGAAGTACAACAAACAAAAAAATTATAACCAGACTTGATCTGCCATTTTAATACAGATTAGATGCTGTTAAATTCGACAAAGTAACCAAAATCATTTTATTACACCAACACATTTCTTTTGCACAAAATATAAATAACACAGTAAGGAGTGTATACCGACTGCATTACAAGGCGTTACGGCCGATGATTTCCACATACAACAAAGATCTATCGATAAATAAACACGTCCGACCGGTGCGCCGTATGGGCGTCCGTACTTTTAGCTGTCGAATACCGCTACTGAAAGTGTTAATTGCGACTATTATCAACAACATCGCCACGTGAAATATTGAATTTGCAAATTCCGAAAATGCAACTGTGAATTGCTCGGTAACGATTTAACCTATTATAATGTTCATTGTATTGTTTTGTTAGAAAATACAACACATGAAAAACGTTAAATCTTCCATATGTGAATAAGATGTTCATACATTTGTATAAATGAACAAAGAATCTTATTTCTACATATTAAAACACTTTTTATTGTTGTTCGTTTTATAATTTGTGATCATTTTAATTAGGGGGTGTTTTTGTTCCAGGGCAGCTTTTTCGTTACCATATAAACTTAGAACGACGAAAGTAGAAATTTTCCTGCTCAAAATGATCGAAGAATTATTTTTTTCTGGAGTACTTTATTTTAAATGGAATAAATATATCTATTATAACAAATCTCAAACAAGTTGGAAGTATCACCCTCAAATGTGGGCAGTTCCAAACATCAGGGTCGTCCTGGATTATTTCTCTACTTCTTATAATATTATTGGGTGCAAGCATGTCTGACATTGCTCTTACAACCACTATCCGCCTTATAATGAAACAAACTGTAAAGATTCCGGCAATTACTGTTCAAGATTTAAAACCCAAAAAGTAAAACTGGGTCTGGGACTTGGATTGAATATTTCCTAATGCTAATACTTCTTTTGGCAAAGACGCATGCAAAGATATACAGCTTCTTACAAAACAACGCATTTTGTGCACTCGTATTTCAACCAGGAATACCATCTGTAATATTATTCCATGCATGTATCTTTCTGGTATTTGAACGGAAACTAGATTTCTCGTGGTTGAAATTGGTAGATGTTGCCAGCGATAATGAACGCCTGAAAACAGCAACTGAAAATAGCGTATGATGCGCTGCCTTTCAAGCCATTCGATAAAAAAGCGGAAGGAATATTATCGATTACATGCAATTAGTATTGGATGCAGTATCTACCGGGATTCGGCGATAATACATGATTCTGCTTGATGCTCACTCTCAACGGAAGAGTTGCAAATATCGTTAGTATGCGTGTCACTTTCGTTAATGACGTCTTTATACAACAAGACCATGAAATAATGAATCCTTTTTATCCATATTGTTTCCCACGCACGCCGAGTAGTACGTGCTCGTGTCAGACAAGCTGGAATTTTAAATAAAGTTTGTTTTGGTATTCTAACTGTTTCATAAGATAAATATTTATATCTGTCTTTTATATAGAATTGTGTTCTTGATTTTAAATGTATATATTAAGTTGAATGAAATACATTGGCCATCCTAAACTCCCTCAAGAGGAAGTTCAAACGCGTAGTTTAGCCACAAGCCGATATTTATGAAGATGGGTTTGCTGTGCGGAAAATAAAATACAGGATAAAATTATAATGTTAAAAAATTGTAATAAATCGATGTGAAGTGCGCTGAACCTAATGTTAGCATTACCTGTCTACCGACGACGGCACCGATTGATCGATATTATTGCATGACAGCTTTTATGCGTGTATTCTGTGTAAATCACTCTTTTATCAAATACCAAATGTTTTAGTGATTTAGGAGCACTAAACTAACCAATTTGTACATTTTTTGTTAATTTATTTAAACCAAAATGGCGCTTCCGTAATTGAAAAATATTGAAAATGTTATATGATCAATGAACTTGTATTTGCGCCATGTTTGGAAAATTTTGATTGTGCGGATGTTTGGAACTATTTTGCTTAACAAAAAATGAATTCATACGAATATACACGTTTTTGTGACATTGTAGATTTTTGAATTTCGATTGTATCTGTATACAAATATGATGTTACACTTTATAGGTATCAAGTCATACTGTTTACCAACTTCTTTGTTGTCACGAACGGCGTTGACGCTTCCACATGATGAACAGATTATTTTCGCTAGCTAGCTGACACATGACATGACACAATTTTATAATTTTGTGAACGATTTTGTAATTAACTCAGCAGAATGGATTTTGAAATGCATGATTGATCTAATCAAATATCTATATATAAAGAGTTCACTGCATTTGTATATGACATCATTTAATTGAATGCATATGCGAACAGTTGGCTGCATATGCATTGATATGTATATCTAAAAATATGTTGAAATTTTTAAATGTTCACTAGCTTCTAATGTTTGGATCTAATCAATCAATTAACCAAGCCGAAAATATTCCTGTTATCTGTCGGTGGCTATGTTGACAATAAATACTAAGGATTTCGTTTTTGTTTCCATGAATCAGTTTTTGGGAGTTGTGCTTTTGTAGTCCCTATTACAGGGGTGGGCAACCTTTTTCTGCTCGCGTGCCGAAATCGGCTAAATTCAATGACAAAATTCCTCTGCTTGCCGACCAAATTTAAAAACAATGCTTTGCTACCTTCAAAGCTAAAATACACAATAATAAACCTTCCAAGAATGTTCGGACAGATTCACTATCCGGGGAAATATCAATTGGACAAATAGATTTGATTATCTCATTTGATTACTTTTCTCATTTTATATCAGTGAGACTTTAGCTGGTGCATTACCGCTTATAGAGATTTCACATTGGGTAAATAAGGTAATGTGAAGCGTAAATTTTTTGGGTTCATGAAAGTGTGTTTCCCTTTATCATTAGGTTGTTTTTTAATTTGAAGTCTTCTTTATTTTTTGGGGGATTTATATTTTGTAACTTTCAAAGAAATACACGAACTACTGGTTTAATCATTTGGCCTACTCCTGTTACAGGACTTAATAAAGTTCATAACTGAAAACAGAGATTCACAAGATGAAAACTTGAAGAGTAATGCAGTTACAAAGTTTTTCAAACACGAAACATTTTGGGGAATGACATCCCAATCAAG